TTCCTGCTGCTCCTTCACTTTGTGCTTGGAAAACAGCAGAGATAGATGGAGGGAAAAATAGACTTCCCAGTAAGAAGCTGGATAAAATCCAGCTTATGCAAAAGTGTCAGCTGAATGGAAGCAGCACAAGGAGAAGATTATAGAAAAGAAGGGTAATCTTTCTGGAGTCAGTCATACAATTATCATTTGCATATGGAGGAGAGAGAATCTCAGCTGGTAGGAGCTGTTAGAAGAGGGTCAATAAAGCCACACTGAGTTGTGGCAGCTGAGGGCTTGTCTGTTCATCCACGTGTGCTGGGGTAGATTGAGGTGTTAGCATTTTATTCCCTGCAGACTTTGGTTCAAAACCTATTTTAAAACACAGGGAAAACAAACGGGTTGGTCTCTGTGCAGATATCTTTGGAAATCTGTTTACATCATGGCAGTGACAGCAGTTTAGTGGAAAGGGTGTTCTCTGCACAGAGGGGGTGGCAAGGGCAGGGCAGCAGGTCCCCTGTGGAGCTGCATGCCAAAATTTCCTTGGTAACTTTTCTTGCAGAAAGGATTTGATGTCCACAAATCCGTAGGTTTCCGTACAAAGTGAAATTAAAAGATTCAACCCAAAATATCAGAAGCCACTTGAAAGGTATCACACTATATAGTGATTTCTGCTGATCTGTAACTTACTGTCAGTATGAAATTCAAATGTCAGGTCCATGAATTTGGAGAGGCAGTTTGTTACCAAAGCCTCATAATCTGAATGAGGAGAAGAAATGCAGATGACTTCCTCATCTTGACTTCTGAGGAAATTAATTTCCTCCAAACATCCACTTTTCCACAATCCTGGAATATCTTCTAATATAAAATGTAGCTTTGTCCTTAAATTCAGTTTCATAAAAACAGCACCTCATAATTTATAACTTGCATTCAGCCTCACAACTCCTTGTGTTAATACTCAATAGTTAATGGGACCTACAGGAAAGCTGGGGAAGGACTTTTGAGGAGGGCAGGAAGTGAGAGGACAAGGGGGTAGCAGTTTCAAACTGGAAGAGGGAAGATTTAGATTAAATATTAGGAAGAAATTCTTTGCTGTGAGGGGGGTGAGAGCCTGGCCCAGGTTGCCCAGAGAAGCTGTGGCTGTCCCATCCCTGGCAGTGTTGAAGGGCAGGTTGGATGGGGCTTGGAGCAACCTGGTCTGGTGAGAGGTGCCCCTGCTTGTGTAGAAGGTTTGATCTAGATAATCTTGAACGTCCTTTCCAACCCAAGCCAGTCTGTGATTCTGTGAAATAGAAATATTGCTTAGTCTTAGTCTACAATCTGGGAGCAAGACCCTCCAGCACTGTGCTCTACCCTTCCTACCCCTCCCTGCACTCATACAAAACTTCACACACACAGGTCACTGCTGATTTTTTACTCGATCTTCTGCATGCATGAAATTAAACACATTTGTAATTCTACAGGCTTGTGGTCTGGGTTTCAAAAGTATTTCAAGATGATACCAAAGCTCCCTGTGATGAAAGGAGAGGAGGAAACAGCACAGTGGCTGTAGTTACATCGTCTGGTGCTTTTGGCAGAGTAGTTAGTTCCAGGGTCAGTTTTGTGAGAGGAGATAAAGCCCACAGACGTGAAGACAACAGCACTGCAGGTCACCTCTGCACATCCTGGAGCTCCTAGTAGGCAAGAGAGTTTCTTGCCTGAACCCAGATCCATTGAGTCTCACTGGGATTTCACCACTAATTCAGCAGATCTGCCTATCCATGTAATGTAAGTGAAGCTTTTAGGAGCATTATCCATGCATGGTTTTCCCGTACATGGAATTTGGCAGGAGGCCATTCCACCGAGAGGTTCACATTGCAAGAAAAATCTGCAGACTTTTTTTAAACCATACTTATTTTAAAAAAAACCAAACCCTCCTCCTAACAAAGTAAGAGAGATATTATTGCCTCAGGATCAACCATAGAACACCAGACAGCTTAATAGCCAGATTTTTAAGGAAATACCTTCCTTCTCACCTCCCCACCTCATGCTTTATCACTTCAGAAGCAGCAGCTCCTACAGTGAAAAAACTGGGGATTTCATCTAATGAAATAGTAACATAGTTACCAAGTCCAAGCCCCATCTATCATAAGTAACTATATCATTACCCCTTCCAGACACTGATCATATCCCAGTTTATGAGTTGTTTGCTTTTTACTGCTATTACACAAAATGAAAAGCCTTTCCAGAACCCTGCTGCTCTGATGGTTCTGAGCCTTCCTCTTTTCCAACTAAAATAATTTCATGACCAGTTCATACATGTTTGTTCCTGCCCTGAACATGAATTGTTTTTCCCCTCCCTGGTGTTTAGTCCCCTGATGTATTTATAGAAAGATCATCTCCTCTTTCAAGCTTCATTTTGCTAGGAATAGTAATGTTAGAAATAGACTGATGAATTGACTGTATGAGACCTGGACAGACACACATACACACAGAGGCTAGAGCACTCATTTTAAAAGAAATGCAGAAAATACAGATGAGTTAATCTTTAGTTACCAGTGCATTCTTGCAAACATGTCAGCAACTTATGTCAATTACAATATAAAAGACAGATCAAGTTCAAAACTGCTTTTCAGGAGTTTTTAGAACTAAAGACTATTCATCTATAGAAATACCAGAAAGCCTACCCGAAATCTCCCTAAAATTCTGGTTTGGGAACAGTACCAAAAGTTCACAATGAACATAATTTCTAAAAAGAGAGCTGGGGAGACTCAAAGTACATTTTGATAAAAAAGTCTTAGGCAGAGGCTAGTTTGGGGGTTAAATAATCTGCAGAAAAGGAAAAAAAAAAAAAGCTATTAAAAAAACTACAAGAAAGACTGAATAAACTATTTGCCTGTTTAGAGACAATTTCATTCTTCCATAAAAATATTTCCTAGCTTTGCTGGTCTGGCACATCAATCCTGAGTACTCTGACTTTTGACTTGTAATGATATTCCTTCAGATACAGCTTCACGGAGGGAGGAACGGGAAGGGCATCGATACCATCGTAAGTTGTGCAGTTGCAAATAACTGTTCTACAGATGTGCTGAAGGGAAAAAGGAAAAGTCCTGTTCAGTGGGGTGGATAAAAGTGGCTCAAAGAACATACAGGAACTTGGATCTTTGTAGTGCTCCAGGAGTCCTGTGATGTCAGGAGAATGGAAGACACAAGGGTCGTGGGCATCGAAGCTGAAGTTGTGATTCCACTGCTCTATCCGGGCGTGGAGGGAGCGGCTGTAGCGCCTGAAGCTCACAGAAAACAAATAGTCCTCCTGGGCAGAATCTCGTAACAAAAACGTTCCCTCTGGCTTCCCTTCTAGTAGCGCCTCAGCTGCGTATTTATCCATGACTCCCCAGTAGCAGGGATTGTTATTGATCTGGAGAAGGTCCGGGACCAGGCAGTGGACATAGTCAATCTGCGTGTGGTATTTCGGAGGTGTTTCCATCCGGAACAGCTCATCATCCGTTTCCCACTTGGGCTTGTTTCTTTTTCTAGAACTCGTGCACAGTGTTATAACTTCATCATCTGAGTCCATGTCGCTCTCATCTTTACTGCTCCTCCCCACCTTCCCTGTAACCAACTCAGACCTCAAGTCACCCCTAGAGGAACCGCTGTCGGTGAAGTCGCAGGACTGGGAGGGAGAGTCCATCCCCCCATTGGCAATCTGGTCATCTCGCAGCTGATCCTCCCTTTCCTCGTGCTGGGATAAATCACTAATGATCCAGTCTTCCCCTTTGGGGCTTATAGGGGCTGTATGTCTTTTGATCAAGTGCCAGCGAAAAGCCAGCTCGGAGCGCGGAGGGAAAGGACACTTATCCAGCATTAACTCGCTGATGTGGATCTTCCTCTTGGATGGCAGTCCCGAGGTGTGCCGACTGCTGCAGTTCTTGATGGGAAAGCACTGACCCACAGCATCCTGCAGCTTCTGCTTGAGAGACCGGCCTAAAAACCTGTGACCGCACGAGCGGTCGAGGTCCAGCTCGATGGAGGAGCAGCTGAACTTCCTCTCCTGGCTCCTCAGATTAGTCCCCGACCTCCCCGCAGCACTTGCTGCCTCAGCATCAGAGCAATGCTCGCTCTTCTTAGACCAGGAGAGCTTCTTCCCACTCCAGACATAACCATCCTTTCTGTCCGCACTTCTGCTCCGGCTGCTTTTGGGTCTGACGTCGGCGTTTTTAGCGTTACCATCCTTGTTTTCTGCCATCCTGACAGCTTTGCTTCACAAGCTGCCCGAGAGCGCGCGGGGTTTCTGGTAGGGTCTTTCTACATCAGGAAGCTTCCTCCAGGCACTTGCTGGAAATATCTGAGGAGAAAGAAAACACAGCTGAGTTAACAGAGAGTCCAGAGGAGACTCACAAAGATGAGCAGAGAGGGTTGGAGCAGCTCTTCTGTGAGAACAGGCTGGTAGAACTGGGGTGTTCAGCCTGGAGGAGGCTCTGGGGAGACCTTAGAGCACCTTCCAGTGCCTGAACAGGCTCCAGGAAAGCTGGGGAGGGACCTGGGACAAGGACAGGGAGTGAGAACACAAGGAGGAATGGATTAAAACTGGAAGAGTTGATTTAGGTTAGATGTTAGGAGGAAATTCTTTGCTGTGAGGGTGGTGAGACCCTGGCCCAGGATGCCCGGAGAGGCTGTGGCTGCCCCATCCCTGGCCGTGTTGAAGGGCAGGTTGGATGGGGCTTGGAGCAGCCTGGGCTGATGGGAGGTGTCCCTGCCCATGGCAGGGGGGTTGGAACTAGGTGATCTTGAAGGTCCCTTCCAACCCAAACCAGGCTGGGATTCTACTCTACGACTATGCAAGCACGTAAGGCCAGTGCAGGTGTATCCAGGACAATTAATTGCTAACAATGTAAAAACACTGTATGAGCTGAAGTCACCAGAACACCCCACAAATACTGGCCTGATCCCATCAAAGGCTCTCTTAACCCTGCTTTGGGAAAAGCATCTTCCAGAATAAACCACTTAGGTGTTTTAAGAGTACTCATTCTGATTACACAGCAGAGCAGAGAGGTTTAGGTGTTGCCCATCCTCTCGTGCTAGGGTCCATTTTAAATGGAAGCACTTCCCATGGCAGGTGATAGTGCTTTAGCTGTTGATTGAGCACATTCTGCATCTCTTCCAAATAACCTTTCAAGAAGGAAGAAGCCAGAACAGAAACAACTAGGTCAGAGTACAAAGAGCTACTGTACCTAGATGATATGCCTGTTTGTTACTAATCCACAGGGTGGGATGCCAGAGATCTTACTCTTAAGTGACACTTCTGGGTCACTTTCTGGATTAAAAAAAAAAATATATAAAAATTTAAATTACATCAGTCACAGATTCTGTCAATTTCTGAAAGCTGTTTTCCTCTGCCTTTTCAAACGGAGCTAGAAAATACTGAGCCCCTAAGGGATTGAAATATCTGGGGCTTTACATACTGAAAAGGATTAAAACAAATCCAGTCCCTTACTAAAAGCCATTTTAAAAGGCCGTGAAAGATGGAACTGCTTATTACTCATTAGAGAAGAAAGTTGACATTATTAAAATCAGTGTTGCTCTGAGACCTACAGTTGCTGATTTCATTCTCTTTTGTTTCCAAAAGTGTCTTGAATTCTCAAAGAGATAAGAGGAGCTCCTTTTGAACCTCGGGCTTTGAAAAAGAAAGCAAGAAAAAAAATCCTCTTTTGATTACTCAGTTGCAAAGTAGAGCAGATTTTTTTCAAGGTACAGAGATAGCAAATGTATGCTAGACACTCCCAAGGCATGGCAGAAGGCAGAAATATGCTGCTTTTGCACCAAAATATTGGACAGCCTCTCTGTTCCACTGGGTTTCTTTGGCTGTAGGGTTTTTGTTGTGGTTTATTTTTTTGGTTGTGTTTTTTTTTTAAACCCACCTAATTGACATGGTAAATACTAAGCAGGAAAAGAAAAGGGCATCCACTTCCTCTCTCCATTCAATCCATTCTCATCATCAGGATTAGCCAGCATGACACAACCTCTCTGTGGTCCCCTGGGGCTGCACAGGCTGAGTTCTAGCCTCTGCTTTCAGTAAAAGAATCAAGCTGCTGTGCCAAAAGGCTCACATGCAATCTGTGGGTCAAATGCATCCCAGATGTACCTTTCACCCAGGAAATTTTGACATCACATTCCTCATCTACAACTCACAAACCTGAGAGCTGCAGGAGAAAAGGGAGGGAAAGGGAGAAGATGCATATAAATATAGAAATGAGGGTAAGATAGGTTAAGTATTGCAAATATGTTGAAAAAAACTGGCATTAGAGCAAGCTGGATGACTGGTACCTCACTAGTACCAAGTGGAATCACAGAACAGGGTCCATGTTCCAGCAATTACAAATCAAAGATGGCAATAATCATCTTTTTCTTCTCTCAGGATTTTGCAAACCACTTTTAATTGAAAACATTTCAGGATGCAGTGCAGGTAGGAGAAAGGCAACATTTTAATTTAAACATTTGAATGAGACCCAAAACACCTTTATTTAGTTCAAGATTCATTGATTGCTTTTGTAACATTGATGTTTTTCACCCAGAAACAACTAGAATGGAGCACTGAATTTTGTCCACATTAAAAAAGAAAAAAAAAGCAATCTCATTTATCCTGGTGAAAAGTAACTGGAGGCAAAAAGTTATTCTACATTCATCCTGTGATAAAATACACTGTCTCTATATATGGGATTTTTAATTGGACAGAGAGATATCACTGAGATTGAAAAGTCAAGTACTTAAAAATTAGGATACGACAGTTTGTAATTGCTTTTGAAGCCTTCAATTATCTCATTCTGCACATCCAGCCCATATAAGGAATAAGAATACACAGAATATGGGCTTTTAATTAAAAACTGCAAAATGTACCAAACCCAGAAATTTTGAAAAGGCCCATTATTTCCTGACTTGAGCCTTGCAACTGAAATAAGCTCAGTGGTTGATGTCATTATGCCTAGTGGGAGGTGTCCCTGCTCATGGCAGCGGGGTTGGAACGATGAGCTTTAAGGCCCCTTCCAACCCCAAACCATTCTGTGATTCCTGGGTTTCTGTTGTACTTAACTGTGAAGCCACCTCCTGTTTTGTGCCTTTCTTCTATTACAAACCATTCGTGGCACCTGAACCCTGAAAATTAAACTGGAGAAGCAGCACGTGGTGCTGTAAGGCATGCACCATTAGCCAGCAACACAGAAGGCTGTTTCCCTGGGGTCTGAAGGCTGCTGGAACCGAGGCGCCAATTCTGCCACGTCAGAGCAGTAATTGCTAATCAGACACATCACCAGGCCTGTGGGAAGAGCAGGGAGTGAACGAAGGAAAAGGGAGGTCATCCTGCTAAAGCCAGGTTTGAACTTGGTGAAGGAAGAGTGAAGGATAGTTCAGTGGTCAGCTTGAGACCCGAGAGACAAAACCTCAGTTCCCAAATCTGCTCTCAGACAAGCTGCCTTCTGAGACGCACACCGGCGAGGGGGATTTGAGGTGCCCAAATCCCACCACGTGGCACGACAACAAGGGGTCATGCTTTCATGCCTTTCCAAATCTGTGATTCCCAGCCCCACCAGTAAAATGGGAACCCAAATTAGTTTGGATGTCAGAAAGAAAAAGGCATAAAGGGCAGTGAGGCGTTCAGTGCTGTATTACCACCCAAGGCTATCCACCTAAACCAGCTACTCCTTTTGCCTCAAATGTCCCAGGGAAATGTCATGTGCTGCACATCTATTAATGGCCAGGGTGCCACTGAAAGAGCAGGAGAGAAGGGCAAGGATAAAAGAGAGGGAACACTGAGTGTACTTTTCCCTAGAGGGCAAGGTTAAATGGAGGAGTCCCGGCTCTGTGCAGCTCACACACATCAGTTTGGAGATCCTTTTGGTAGATAGGATGAGTCCCCTGCCTACAAAAGCCTTCTCGTGGGGACACCTTGGGCATCTCAGAAGCAGGGAGAACTGACAAGACCCTTATGCCTGAAGACTCCTCTGCCTCAGCAGACAAACAAGAGAAAGCAACGTGCAGGGATGAGCAGAGTTCACTTCGGGCCACAGGATCTGTCTGGTAGTACCCAACACTGTCACAGCTTCCAGTCCCTGAGGACGAGCAGAGAGCTGGGTGGTTTTTGTTGTTGTTTTCATGATGTGCACAGCTCCCTCCTTCAGGGGCACATCTCTCACCAGGCTGCAGAGGTGGGGGGAGCACACACAGCTGCATAAGATGCTTTTTCTTTCAAGCACTGATGCCTCAACCCTAAGACTTCAAGCCCAAACTAAAATCCTATTTCGTAGCTATTTGGAGGCAATGACAGTATTATCACCTAGCCAGAGGTAGGCTGCAATCAACAGCTGTGATAAGACACTTACAGCTTCACCATATATCTAATTAAATCAGTGGCAAATACTCAATAACTCCAACAGGAGAATCAAAACCATAAGCACAGGCAAACCTAACTAAACAAGGAGATTCACACAAAGGACCATTAAATCAGTTTTGGACTTGTTATAGAAGTTGGTATTCTTCTAGGTCTGATAAAATCCTGAGAGAGAAGAGCAAGCCATAATCAGTTGGAATACTTTTTTTAATCTTTCTTTCAATGTACTACACAAAAGTTATTTAAAAAACAATCCTTGCCAGTCACAAGCTGTTTTCATTAATTTTGCCCAATTAGATTTTGGCCACAAGACCACATTTTAAAACTTGACATTCCACTGAATTTGAGCTGTTATTGACTTATTTTGAAAAAGAGCCCAACCTATTAAGGATAACATTAAGTCTCAATTCCTCTGTCTTATTTTTCTTCAGTTTTGACCATGTTTATTTTGATTTACAATACCATCCAGAAATACCTAAGCTAGACTCCAGGGGCCCTTCCAAGCACATTAAAGCAACAATCACACGGACATGAAAGAAACTGGCTGTCTAAGGCTACCAGTGATAACCCACAATACTTCTAACTTGGAAATACCCTTGATTTGTCCTAGGTCTGCACACTCTAGAGTGAAAGGACAACTACCCCCAATGCTGGGGCTGTTTTACTCACACCTGGGAGGGTTGAAGTGATCTGGAAGCAGGTGCCGAAGGTGAGAGGGCTGATCCCATCCTGCTTTAAGGAAACCCTGCTGAAGGAGAGAGGCGGGCAGCGCCTGGCAGAGCACAGCAGCCTGTCTAAAAGCACTAAATCAGCCGCAGCTTTGTGGTCCGTGACCAACACTTGCTGCTCCACCCAGAAACCGAATGGGAGAGCAGCTCCCGCCCCGCTCCCGGCCACTCACACCTACTAATCAAGCCCGCAGCAGGTTTGAGTTCCTGCCTGCATTTAAAGAATAACTTCCCATGTCATGCCCTGCCACCCCAGACGTGACAGAGCCTGCAAGTCCCCTTGGCCAAGTGACCACGGAATTCCCCCTCCCCATAAAAAAACTCTTCCCCCGGTTTTCTCCCTGCTGCTCAAAGAGTTATCCCAGCTGGCAGCACCTCCAGACAAGGAACTTCAGCTGTTACATAGGACTGAACTGAAAACGGCTTTTGTACTGTGAAATACGGTAGGTGCAGCTCGTATGAGAGCTTCTGAAAATTAAAATAATAAAGAAAAATAAACACAGTTGACAAGCACTTGTCTCTGTCCCAGGCAGCAGCAGCTTGCAGTGAGGCTGCTGTAAGAATAGCTGGGTCTTCCCACTCATCTGATAAACGGTTCAGCTCGAATAATCCTGCCAGAACACATTATTCTCACCAGAAATCACGATTTACTGAAACATGTCAGGATACACCCATGGAAAACATGTCTCTAGACAGCTTCCACAAGGCTTAATAATGAAATCTGGGCATATTTATTTATTTTTTTTCAAAAAAAGAAGCGTGCCTGCTTTGTAATTCTGTCACTTAGTCATTCATGAAAGTACCAACAATGTGACTGTTATAGAGAGCCCGACCACATTTCCAATATAAATAAATCACTCTGCTCACCCCAACCACTGATAACTCCACTGCAGAGCAAAACTGAAGATAAAAGGGCTTTGCCTGGAAGCAATTTTTCTTAGAAGCAGGAATAAACTGAGCCAGATCATTAAAGCTACATAAAAGGAAAACAGAGAACTCTGGGGTTTTTTGCTCCTTATTTCGGGCCTGTCGAGCTCTAATATATATATATTTTATATATATATATATATATTTGTGCTTCAAGAACTAAACCACACTGCCTTCCTCCTCTTTTTCAATGCAGAAGAGCTTAATGATTTTTTGGCAGTGCAATCAGTACCTGCCTAACTACAACCACTGTCAGCTGCATCTAGCACGGGCATGGGGATGGCTGTAATTAGAGAGTAATCCCGTAATTACCATAACGATCTCCAACTGGGTTTGATCCTGCAGCCTCTGCTGGGGTGAGAGCTTCCTCCCCAGCCTCCCTGCAACACGAGCAGGGGGGTTTGAGGGGTCATTGCTCTCCATTTCTTGGCTGTTCCTGTAAGCTGGAATGAGGGGAGGTGGGGAGGGAATTCTGTGCTGTGAGGGTGGCGAGACCCAGGCTGCCCAAGGAGGTTGTTGATGCCCCATCCCTGGCAGTGTTGAAGGGCAGGTTGGATGGGGCTTGGAGCAGCCTGGGCTGGTGGGAGGTGTCCCTGC